GGGGGGTGGGGGGGCCAAAAATCGTGAGTCAGAGCATAGAGAGAGGAGGCCACATGTACTGAAAGACACGGCCGCGAAAGAGATACAGCCACTTGCCTTAGTCTTCACAGCAAAGTCAGAATTTCTAGCACCGAGCCAGCAAGCAACCAGTGATTGTCGACGCACTTATCGGATTATATCAGTATCCTGTCAGTGACGCACTTTGAGTACCCTAGGTCACGCCCAACTCGCAGCATTGACGTCAAGCGCCTCAGGCCCGACACCAACGACCAGCCACGGAGCCCCCGCGACGTCCTCACACAAGCTGAACCTCCCTGGTTTGCAGCGTGAGGCCCAACCGACGGATCCCGCTGTTGTTGCACTTACATCACCGAGAAATCATCGGGCGTTGTCCTCGGCCTCGCTCGGAGTCCCTTGCCGCCATCATAGCTATCACATCTCACTATCGTCGTCTTAAGTGTTCCTGCTTTGCAGATTGATCCGTGACGGTCCATACGAGCCCAATGTTCATACTAGCGAGCCACCTTCAGCAGATTCCAATCGCTGCTCAGCCAGATCGAGATTTCCGCGTGATTTTAATCGGAATCCAGCAACACTTGACAAATCCCGTGCATATTCAGTACAATATGGGTCAAAGCTTCATCACTTGATTTCTTTTACTATAATTTTACTCCAGGAACATCAAAGTCCATCCTGCTGCGCCAACCTTTTCCGACAATGGTTTGCTAAGCCTCATCCTGGGAGCTCCTCAACAAGCCATCTTGTCGTCACCCACCGCCGTCCGCCAGTCTAAACTTGGAAAGTAAATATTCGAATTAGGTAAAAATCTCATCTAATTTGCTTTTCGAGTATATTATTTCTTTATTTGAAATATTACAATCTTGTGTGAATCTTTTGAATGATATTATCATATCCAATAAATTCCCGAATAGCCTTTAAATTAAGAATTATTTCCTAATTTCACAATATGCATATAATCGATAGTCTGATTTCATACTCGAAATATGACTTGCGATTGCACAGAAAATCGTCAATCCGATCTCCCGTCCGAAATATGATTTGCGATTGTGCGGAAGATTGGCCAATCCGATCCTCATGCCCGAGATATGATTCGTCAATCTATTGTTTCTAAATTTAAATGGATATGGATAATATTTCTTGTGATTGGGTGTCGTGTTCATTGCTATGTTTTTCCGTCTTTTGTTTGAATTGAATTGATTGTCTTTCCATAAAAAAAATACAAAAAGATTATGTAAAATTTGAGTAGATAATATATTGCATGTTTAGGATAAATTTTGATTATTTTCTTAGAATAGAATAGATTCTTTTCTTAGATATTAGAGTAGTTGCATATAAATTAATTCTCGTCATTAGAAATCTCACATCTAAGTTCATTTGCGTGCCACATTAGAGATAGTGCATTTAATTGTTGTTAGAATTAGGACATTTAAATAAATCATATGTTGCATGTCATACTAGACGTAGAATGCATTGCATAAAGTTTAGTTTTCGTTAAATCAGAGAAAACCTTAAAAAAGATTTGAGTGAAATTGTATGTTAATTAGAAATCATATTAGGATTGTCAATGTGATTTTCTAATTAATATTGCAGATGCTTTCGCTGCTTTGAGGTAAGTCCCTATCATGCAATTTATTTATTGCTTTACATTATTGAGTGTTATATTATTGATTGCGCATCCGCATGATCACTTTGCATGTTAGTGGATAGGTTTAAAATCAATCCAAGTTGCTTGCAAATATTTTTTTGAAATAAAAGAGAAAAGGTACCGAAAGGGCATTAAAGTAATCTAGTGTAACCAAGTCCCCGAATCCATATTCTCTGGTTCGTAGGAGTAAAGTAATTCTCCCGATACTTTACTTGGGTTTCTAATCAACCCACCAAAAAGTAAATTAGTGGCGACTCCTGATTGAAATGATTTGCATGTTAAGAACTTAAACCTTAAGTCGCAAATTGGTAAGGGTTTGGGAGAGCCTGAGTTAGGCCTAGACTTAATAATCCATTAGCCGAATTCGTAGGTGGTGCACCACCCATAGGAGGTGGGGTCGCGACAACAGGTGGCAATAAAGATTGATCTCATGAAAGCCTATGACATGGTAAAATGTGATGCAGTCATCGGGGTTCTCAAAGCTATAAATACTCCCCATGACTTGGTTGCTTTGATAGCTGAGTGCATTACTACTCCAACATTTTCAGTGAACTTCAATGATGAATGGGCTACGACAAGGTGATTCTCTTTCTCCATACCTTTTTGTAATGGTTATGGAAATTCTTAACAGAATTGTTAGTGCGAAAGTTGCTGCTTCTTCTTTCAAGTATCACTGGCGCTGCAAAACACAACGAATCACACACTTATGCTTCACATACGACTTGTTATTATTTTCTCATGGAGATGTAGATTCCGTCCTTTGCCATGTAGATGCCCTAGACGAATTTGCAACTCTCACAAGACTGCGGTTCAACCCAAACAAGTGTCAAATTTTTTTTCTAGGTTGAATGAGGAAGAGAAGCATCTTATGCCAGACCACGTGCCTTTTTCTCTAGGTACCCTCCCTATCAGATACCTGGGTATCCCCTTTGTTACCAGAAGACTTACCGACACAAACTGTAAGAGTCTTATTGATAAGGTCTTCAAGAAAATTGAAAGTTTGGACATGAAGTATATCAGTTATGCAGGGCGTCTACAGTTAGCCAAATTAGTCCTCATCTCCATCTGCACCTACTAAATGCAAATGTTCCTACTTCCAAAGCACACTATATATAAGGTGGAGAAGAGGATTAGACAATTTTTATGGGCTGGTAATACAACAAATCATGACTCGCACAAGGTTGCATGGCAAGTAGTTTGCTCACCTAAAAGGGACGGAGAAGTAGGGCCGCCTAATCTAAACATATGGAACAAAGTATTGCTAGGCCGCATGCTATGGAACCTCATCAATCGTCCTTCCTCTTCCCTTTGGAGTGTTTGGGTTCACAACACCAAATGCAGAGGCACCCCAATTATGCAGCTTGATATTAAGGGTAGTATGGCTTGGAGCTGGAGATGTCTCCTTAAACTGCGACCCATTCTAACGTCGATTATCCCGAGTTCAAGGTACTGTTGCCAAGATATATATGATGAACTCAGACACGTAGGACCAGCTGTGGAGTGGTATAACCTAATTTTGACTAGTGACATTAGCAAACACAATTTTATTGGTTGGCTAGTTTACAGAGATAGACTATTTACAGCAGGGATCGTCGCACAATGGATGTCTTCAGTTGATATCTAGTGTAATTTATGTAGAGCTGGTATTGAAGACAAAACACATTTGTTCTTCCAGTGTGAGTGGACAAGCAGCATATGGCGTTGTAACCTAGCACAACATGGGATTAGGCACCCTTTAGGAGGATGGAATTAAGAACTTCAATGGATGATTAGGTCAACAAAGGGCAAAGACTTGGCGATAAGACTCCTCAAGTTGTCCTTCCTAGCAACCATAAATTGCATTTGGATGGAGCGCAGCAGTAGATGGTTTCAAAACAAGTCAACTGACTTCCATATTCTTTTGGCGAAGGTCCGTAAAAATGTAAGAGGTAGAGCGAAAAATTAGACCTTCCCAGATAAATGTTGTATTGACTACTATATGGAGACTTACTATCTCCATCTTTTTGAATTATTAGCACTATTTGTGATGCTGGGGGATGTCCCGAAACTGTTGTACTTTATCTGATTTATACAACTTACATTCACACCAAAAAATATATAAATATATATCGGATATAATATTTATTCTATCATACTATTATTAAAGTGTGCTCAAGGTCAAAGTCAAAATTCTGACCAAGAAAACAAAAAGGTTAGAGTCAAAAGAATACGCTAAATACATTAGAATTATGTACTCATAAATTCCACGATTGATTCATTATCATGTAAGTATTAGCGCAACAGTATATGCATATGCGTGTAAAAGGGGCAATGGCACAATAAGTCATAAAACCCATTGCACGGAAATAATTGAATTATAAACATTTTAATTGAGTCAATTTAGTCTTCAACATTTGAGTGTAAATGAAATCAAGTCCTTTCGATCAAGTCTCACCGGACTTATCTGACGTGACAGTCAGTTTTAGTTGGCCATCCTATGTATAAAGGCAACGGCGTGAGGTAGACAAAACAACGCCATTCTTCTTCTAGCTTTTATGTGTTATTCTTCTTTTTTATTGCTTATGTTCTTTCCTTCTTTCCATTGTTGGAGCTCCTCTTGCTGTTCATCATCTTCAACCTCTCGATCGCTTTGCGAAGCCCAGCAAGCCAATAGATTGCCAAAAAGTTGGGTCTCAAACCTAACCTCAAGCCTTTGGGCTCTTCAATTTCTCATGCTCCTACTATGTAACTTGCTCATACTACTTGAATGAAATGAAATCAATCTTTTGCATGGATTTTATGCATATTTTATGGCAAAATGTTGGAGGATGTTTTTCAGTTTACTTCTTATGGAGAACCTTTGTACTTGTAATGTTTGGAATTGAATAATTTTAGTGCTTCTTTACAAAACTAGGTAAATATCTCCTAGCTACTAGAAAATGGCTGAGCGTTTTCTTGAGGGCTAGTGAAAATAAAGCCTACAAATCTCCTAGCTGGTATTGATATGACTATTTCAACGCACTTATGTATGACCACTTCTAGCAGGCCCCACTTGCAAGCAGCTATTTCAATTCAAAATGGTTAAACTCCATGAAGCCAATCGATATTTGGAGATACATGGGCTGACAATGAGCTGATTCACCTTTGCATTTATGGCCTAATGAATTGACTATTGACCGATGCCTAAAATGATTGAAGCGACCTACCGATAGCTACCATCGTTCACCACCACTGGAAATAAATTAGACATAATCTTGTTCATAGATCGAAACGAAATTGAGTCCTCTGATTTTGATACTTAAGGATCGTACCAAAATTGTCGAGAAGGAAAATTCTTTCACAAACAATCCTGAAATGAATACACGCTTCACTATATTTTATTCATATTACCATATCAAAACATAACGATTCTTAGCACAACACATTAGTCTTAAAATAAAAGCTGCACGTAAAACTATCTCAACACTATGTTCGGGGATTCCTTGTACACAGTCGGTCCACGAAATGGGAAAGATCTTTATAGTACCGAGAAGCAGCTTTGTCGCTTGAAACCAAGACCTTAAGTCACATCAAAAGCCTGGAAGCCAGGGTCCACTTAGCCAAGACCGCCCTGCATTACACGTCTGTCGTCTCTTCCATTCATCATCATCTCATTCCAGAATCCTACAAATAATTTGACCTATAGCGTCAGGATCCGTCAGACATCCAAGTCGTTACATGTGAATAGAGAATACGAAAATCTTGGATCGTTATATTTTTTAGGAGAAAATGCGAATTTCTTCTATGTACAGATAATTATATCGTGGTCGATGGACCTTATATAATTTATTAAAATCAATATATATCTTGGATCATGAATTTCTTTGCACTTGGAATATGGAAATCGACATCACCGGAGCTTCGATTTAAGTGAATCGTGGGATTTTGTTTTAGAAAATGACACTAGCACAAAGTTCCATCCAATAATGTAGCCGACAATATTGTACACGACATGACCGCACGTACCGTCCAACTTTACAGGAATATGACCTGAAAGATAAGAATTGGAACTTGGAAGTAGGGCAAAGCATCTTGTCCAGTTCTGCATCATCCATACGAAACATCAAATCAATCACAGGGCTCCATTATGCGGGAGCAATCTGTCAATAAAGAGTTTCCAGAGTGATGAAGAAAGGTCACGTGGGAAAAATAATTTTGTAATTACTGTGTATTTCATAATTAAAAAAAATTAATATTATGAAAAATTTCAAATTGATATATTTATAATAAATTTATTTCAAACTAATTTTTTGATCACTAAAAACTTCAAATTAGTATACTTATGACAAATTTACCATCCGTTAAATTAGATTAATACTACAAAATACCACAAATTGGTAAATCTGTGACAAACCGAAAGGTAAACTCCTAAACTGATACACTTATTAACTGTCATCCAACTAAGCAATTTGATAGTAAAATTTAATAGAAACTAATAGATGATAAACTTATTACAAGTGAATCAGTTTGAGGTTTTTTGTGGTATTAACTCTAATAAAAATTACACGAGATATTTATGAACTTTTTAAAATGACTATTTATACAAAATATCAATTATAATCAGTTAAAAATATGCACAATCAACAAAGAATCTTCGAATTAACCCGTGGTGACGTAGATAAAGCCAATTGAAATTTAGAGAAAAGATTTAAAAATTGCCTTGCGAATGTACTTTAGTGAAAACATTAAAAGTTTGATCAATCGGTAAAATGGAGACAAAATGAACAGTGCCATGAAACATGTCATATAATGTGAAATGACAATCTCATAAGTAGGGTTGCAATGAGACTTCGAGCGACATTATCTTGCAGGCATAATTACCTCTTATCAATTCAAGTGGAAATACATGGTCCCACTGGTTTCTTTATCATTTAAAGCTAGATTACATTATCTTACATGGTCCCATTAGTTCAACATGCATGCATGATCTTTTTACTTCTGATTCCAATTTCTCTGGAATTGACCCCTTTAGGGTCCACTCAGAAATTTTACCCGTATATTTTTATTACCGGCCTATGTTATCCCATAAGTGGGAAGAAGCAAAAGAGTATAGGATATACAAAAATAGAGAGAGAGAGAGAGAGAGAGAGAGAGAGAGAGAGAGAGAGAGAGAGAGAGAGAGAGAGGGAGGACCAATTTGAGGGTCAAAACCGCAATGAAGCCCCACCTCGCTTCTCTAAGGTTTATGTGGACCGTCTCACGAGGATCTTCAATCCGAACCTTCACATCTGCTGGAAGTATCCATATGACACTGCATCGGCTCGGGAAAGAATATATGTATGTCGCTGAGAAAAGCTTAGCTCATCCAAAGGGAGACCTACATGTCAAAGGAGGCAAGTTAGGATAAGTCGTATTGGCTAATGAGAAGTGAACGAGAAATTAAGTTGGTGAAATTAATGACTTATCTTAGGTTGTTGATGACCTGAGTTTGCCTGCTTGTAATGTGTGATGTCCTGTATTAGGGCCTGCATGGCTCCCCTCATGCCAACTAAGGAAGTACCCAACTCTGTCTTTGGCAAAGGCTGCTTCTTAGATGGCATTCAGGGAGCCAGGCAGGTCCATTTTCAGAAACTCAACCAAACAAGACATTTCATTTGAGCTTCATCGTCAAAACCTGCAAAGCAATGTGTCATCTTGTCACGTTCTTTCTTTCTTCTTTTGATCCTATTCTTATTTCTGAAATGACCATAGCATCACATCACACATGACTCAATTTCTTGGGTATTGGAAACTCGGGATGATACTATCGAAGCACTTACCTTTGCTCTTGGAGATTACTAGCTTCCACGGTTGGGAGCTTGACCCATCATCGAAGAGTCTCTGTAACCTTTTCACTGCGCTCTCTCTCTCTCTCTCTCTCTCTCTCTCTCTCTCTGCCTTGGGGACAAAGAGGAGGAGAAATTTGATTTAAAGGGAATGGAAGAAGGCAAAGACAAGAGAAAATCCATGGAGGAGAGGGGATACAGGTCATATACAAGGCGGCAATCAAGGCCTTTTCCTTTTTTTGTTTCTTTTTATTTTTTGGGTCAAATAATAATTCCATAGAATAGAGTCAAAAGTTGCTGGGGTTTTGCAGGTACCTATTTTGTATCATCTTTACTTGCTACAAGTGATTATTGATTCATACTCTTATTTCATTGCTAATTAAATTACATGAGAGAGCGGATTAATGATACGTTGTACATGACGAAACATTTGAATTTTTTTTGGGTATAAATATGTGAATATCATTAATCAGATGAAGTACAAAAACTTAGGAGAAACCCCTAGCATTTCAAAAAGACTAATTATGCGAAAAGATGGAGGAAGTAAGCCTCCATACAGTAGCCAATAAAATATTTGCTTGGGAAGGTCTACACTGTTGGTAGAGTGATGCCCTACCTCTCACAAAAACTTATATGAATGTTGCATAATGTCATGTTTTAATCATGTAAACTGAACCCACTATTCGTAAGAATTTGCAATCACATAAAAATTTCTTATCATCTTTTTTGTTGTGGTCGAGGATAGCTTTTCTTAGTGTTTGAGGTGTACTTATCGTTTTCTTTTCAGCTTTTCTAAGTTTTGTGGTTGTGTATTCTCCATTGGTCCCATCAATCATACTTAATAAGAAATTTGATTTTCAATGCACTATCCATATTTTATATGGCCGTAATGCATTGAAAATTGTAATTTTTCCTTATTTAGTTAATTAACAAGCACTCCTACAACACTTATTACAATATTTTTTATTATCAGGATGCCAATTAAGAGAAGAATATTGGTTAAATTAACGGCATTTGATTATTTCAAGATGGAACCAAAGACCAGTTAATAGGACAACGCCAGCTCTATAAAGAGAGGCATGGATTCTCATTTGTCAAATAGCTTTCATGTTGACCACTCAACAGTGTCTTATCTCTTGCTTTATTTCCTTCATGACAGTCCATGCATGTTTTATGTGATTTCTTTTCTGAAGCACATCAAACCCTAACTGATACAAAAACAAAAAACTGGGACTGTCTTCATCTGTTGAAGTAATTTGAGAAAGCAATCTCCTGATTAATTCCTTCATCTGCATGTTACAAAGCAAATGGTGCGAAATGGTAAAACATTTGGAACCTCACTTTTTAATATATCTTTTGTGTTAGGGAAGTTTTGCTTCTAAGATTAAGCTTTTGCTTTGTGCTTCTAGGGTTTCAGATTTTAATTTATAGTGGACACCTCAAATTTCACAACCATAATATTGACAAGAAGAGTAACTTGAATCGTGTAGAACTCCATTATAATTTTTGTAAAATTTTTTTTATTTCTATAGAAAAGCCAATAAGTTCTTATCTTTTATTAAAAATTTTGGGCTATACATATCATTTTGTAGGTAGGTAGTGTGAGACTTTGTGGGACCGCTGCCAACTGTTCTAAAAATTTAAGCTATTAGATGAAGGCGTTGTTTAATATTTAATTATTCTAACAAGTAGGCGTCCACATGGGCACAAATTTTTGACCAACTAGGAAAATTCCAAATAAATCATGGGATAATAACACCACAAAACCCAAGTTGATACACCAATGATACATTAACGATAAACTAATTTTCATGTCACAAAAAATTATAAATTGGTCAATTAAGTGACACATCTACTCCAAATGGCTCTTTAAACAACATCGTTGTGGGCAAGCCAGATCCGAAGAAAATGAATTGAGATTGGGAATTAGGGCGAAATTGTATCATACTTCTTCTATCTCTTCCAAATGACCCAATTCATAAGAGTGTGCAATATAAACTGGGCTTAAGTTTTCCTAGCTCAAAACTTACTTTTTTGACAAAGATGTCCTTGAGCCCAGTTACAGAATTGGGGGGCAGCATAATACATACCAGTCCCAGTTTTTTGCTTCTTTCAACTTTCTTGTTTATTTTCTTTTCATGTTTGTTTATCCTTGGCAATAAATTGTATTGATTTTTGTTGCTATGTCTTTTTGCTGTTGTATGCTGAATTATCCCATCAATAGTTGCTAGGAGTCAGTGACATGTATGGTTTGGGGAGAAAAGTGTCAAAAAAGTCATAAACCTTTTGCATTGGTACCAATTTAGTCCTAAACCTTTTTTTGGTGCCAATTCAGTTATAAACCTTGTGCAAATTTAGTCCTAAACCTTTTTTTGGTGCCAATTCAATTCTAAACCTTTTGCATTGGTGCCAATTCAGTCCTAAACCTTTTGTATTGGTGCCAATTCAATCCTAAACCTTTTTTTAGTGCCAATTCAGTCCTTAACCTTTTTTTAATGCCAATTCAGTCCTAAACCTTTTTTTAGTGCCAATTCAGTCCTTAACCTTTTTTTAATGCCAATTCAGTCCTAAACCTTTTGCATTGGTGCCAATTCAGTCCTTCGACACGTGAATAGCTATTAGCCGAAAGGACTGAATTGGCACAAATACAAAAGGTTTAGGACTGAATTGGCACCAATGCAAAAGGTTTAGGATTGAATTGGCACCAAAAAAAGTTTGAGGACTATATTGACACCAATGGAAAAGGTTTAGGACTGAATTGACATAAATGCAAAAGGTTTAGGACTAAATTGGCACCAAAAAAAGGTTTAGGACTGAATTGGTACTAGTGCAAAAGGTTTAGGACTGAATTGGCACCAAAAAAAGGTTTCGGACTAAATTGGAACAAATGCAAAAGGTTTATGATTTTTTTTACACTTTTCCCATGGTTTGGGCAAATGATCCAGATATTTGAGATGCGAGGCTAATATTGATGAGCCCGTAAACTAGGAAACTGTTTTAGATGAGCCGATCGTTCATGTCCTTGTGAAGGATCTCTCTATTGATGAGTGAATCTTAGAATGAAATTGTTATGTTCTTTGTAGGTTGTTTTCTAAGTGACATGCTTTCTTTGAAGTATATGCTAAGATATTGTTTTCTGCTTAAGTTGGATATTAAGAATGTGAAAATTCGAACATTGATCTCTACTTCCACCGGTTTAATTGCATTACTCTTTCATAATTTTTTCTTAGGGTCTTATTAACAAATGACGAGAATAAAGTTAGATTATTAGAAAACTGATTGCAAATAACACGAGTAACGCACCCAATTGAAAAATTGCAAACTTTCTTCGGTGATAACCTTTTTGGGCGATCTTTG